GGGTGTGCCTTACCCACCAGTGTATCCCCAGGGTGCACAGCGCAGTCCAGCTCCCGGTCCTTATTTGGACAATGTATTTAGATGCTCCCCATTCAAATAGGACTGGCGCTTTCGCCATCCCACCCTGCTCCCTGCCTCTTATTTACCTGCATTGACCTTAGAGCGACTCAGCTCCATTCAGCAGAGCTGTCTCCTGCCAAAGCCGTTACAATTTCTTAGCTCCAGGCAGAGACAGACTGCAGATGGCTTAATTTAGAAGCATCTCGGAAGGAATTCCTTGCTCCACAGCTATTCATCCTCTGACTCCGGGGGTCCGCGGGGTCGTGGCCACACGCACTTGAGGCCTGACTTGTAATTAGGACCCTCATCTCTGGCTGAGCTGCTATTTTGGGGAGGAGAGAGCATGCATGCGTGCAGGATGAGGGCCACGCTGCTCCCAGCAGTGACTTTCGCTCGACTCATTTCCTGAGCATGTATTAAGAGAGTGGAGTTGATGGATGAAGAGCTGGGGCTGGAGTCGCATGGCTCTGGTGTCTGTGAGACCTCGGGCAAGTGACCTAACCTTTTTGAGTTCCCGTTTCCCCATCTGTAAAAAGGAGACAACATCTGGATGTTCTGGCAAATGACAGGTCTGTTACTGTAACGGTCCTGGGCCTCCAGGACAGACTCTGCAGAGGGGCACCTGCTTCCTGGCGTTTTGAGAGCCAGAACGCCCCTCTCTGTGGGGTCCCCTGTTCTGCCTGGGGATTTGGGGATTTCTTGGGTACAGAATAGGCCCAATTTCCCCCCACTTTCTAAACAACAATCCCATAAGGGTGGTAGTCGGGGGTAAGCTTTTGCCCGAGTTAGCTCTTGGGAAATTTCACCAGCCCCAGCCACTAAGCACCTCTGATTTTCACCTCTAGAAGCACACGGTGCCTGCTTCTGCCTCTGCTGACACCACTTCCCCTGCTGTACCTCCCTTCTGCCTCCCTCATCGCAACCCTTCCAGGCCACAGTCAAGTCCCCCCCGACCTGAGAAGCCTTCCCTGACCACCTGAGGCCAGGTGAATTCTGCCCACTTCCTTCACTCCCTCACTCAGTCACTCATTTTGTTCACCCTTCCAACTTTGTTTAAACGTGTCCTGAATGCCAGGCCCCGTGCCAGGCACTGGGGGTCCTCAGAGAACTAGGCGGGTGCAGACCCCACCTTACATGGCTCCGTCATCACTTAAGCTGCCCTGTCGTGGATGACTTAACTCCACGAGAGTCCAGCTGGAGTGGAAATTCATCCACATCAGAGATCACATGCAACACACATGCCTTCTGCCTCCCCACTTCAGCCCAGTGCTGCTGAGAACGTAGGAGGTGTCCGAACGTCACACAGTGAATTCACATAATTATTGGTCAGTCACTCCGGTGAGCCTCCGATGCCCCAAACACCCCTTTGGAAAACCAGGGGAATGGAACTGGGGATGCCGAAGTACAAAGGGTGTGGTGCGTCACCAGCCCTGGCACGTGGGTGCTTAATAAATACTTTTTAAATGGATGGAGGAATGACTATTTCTTCCTCGACAAAGTTTCTCAGTAAAAGGAGATTGCAAAAAAGAAAATTTCTCCTAGAGTCCTCTTTTGTTTCTGTGCTGGTTTTAACCTGATTACCTCCAAGCTGAGCGGCCCCTAAGGCCTAGATCCTGCCACCTTACTCAGGAGGGGAGAGTGAGTTCTGAGCCTCCTGCCACCGGCACCACCCACCGCCGGCCCCTCCCACCGCCGGCCCCTCCCACCAGCCCCTCCCACCGCCAGCCCCTCCCACCGTTCCTGCGTGCTGAACCACCTAGGGAACGGCTTGAGGCTTCTATTCATTTCCCGAGGCTGCCGTAACAAATTACCACACTCTTAGTGGTTTAAACAATAGAAATCAATTCTCCAACAGTCCTGGAAATCAGAACTCCAAAACCAAGGTGGCAGCAGGGCTGCACTGACACTGAAGGGCCTGGGGGAGGAGACTTTCTTGCCTCGTCCAGCTACTGGTGGCTCCTGGCCTCCCTGAGTTCTGGCTGTGTCACCCCAATCTACGGCTCCGTCTTCACGTGGCTTTCTTCTCTGTGTGTCTTCTCTCTCCTTCTGACAAGGATGCTTGTCACTGGATTTAGAGCCCACCTGAATATTCAGGATATTCTCATCTCAAGATCCGTAACTACATCTACAAACCCCTTTTTACAAATAAGGTCACATTCACGGGTTCTGGGGTTCAGATGTGGATATATCTTTTGGGGTGGGAGGTTACCATTCAACCTTGTACAACGGCCAGGGAGGCATGTGTTGAGTCGCACAGACATGGACTTCAGAGCTGTGCTTCCCTCTTAAGAACAATTGGTGACTGGCTCCCAGGGACAGAACTGTTGCCACTCCGAATGCTACAGAAGACCATGGAGACCTTGAGTCCCAGTCAGCTGGACATCCAAATCGGCTGGGGGCGCCCAGGAGGCCCCCAGAGACCCTACCCACCCGTCTTACTCAGTGTCTCTACCTGCCTCCTGGGAAGCACGGGGTCCGGAAAAAAATCCCTGTCCCTTGCCAGAGGGGACACAAGACACACCTTGGAAGCCTTTTGTTTATTGGCTACTTCATCCCGCACGATGCACTGGGCCTTCTCTCTTCTCAATAACTTTTGTGAGGCCACTTGGCAATTTTTCTGAAACTGGAGATTGAGCTGAGAACATGATCATGATGTGATTGATCAAGATGAGTTGACACTAGGCACTGAGCCCTAGGTCTGGGTGGGCCTTCGGTGACTGTGGTCAGGGCCCTGCCTGGGTGCACTCGTAGCTTTGGGACTGAGCTCAGGACCTGCCTGGGTTACAAAGACCCCAGACGATCCTGATGCCATAATCTGAGGCCAGAGCTGGATGGGTCCCGGGAATGCTGCTGTGAGGGTCCATGGAGGGCCTGCCCTGTTTGTAGGTTAGGACTTGTGGGCATTTATTTTCCTGGAGGTCATGGCTTTCTGCAGAGTCTTCAAAGGGTCCACATCCCCTGGGGGATGTAGGACGTGGTTTCATGTCCTAGAATAACAAACTCAGTCGATCACCACTGATTGATTTTTTTTATGGGTTTCTTATAAGACTTTGCACACCCCCTACCCCCTTTCTACATCATGAGTAAGGTGCAGGGAGCACCCCAGACACAGCATGAGTGGCAGCTGCGGCAGAACATTCTAGTAGGAATCCAGAACTTAGTGCCCAGCGGCTGGCTGGGGGTGGGGGTGATGGGTGGGGGCTAAAACAGAGTATCTCTGCCACTAATTCCCTGTGAGGCCAACCCTGGACTAAACGCTGCTTCGGGCCTCAGCTTCCCCACCTGGAAAATGAACACAGTCAAGTTGGCTTCCACTGAGCCCTCCTGCTCCCAGACATGCCTGGTCTCTCCTGACGGCGAGTGCAGCTCCCTGGACCTGAGGTCAGGCAGCCCACAGTATGGGTCTCACTGACCCTAAATGGTGGCAGACCTTGGACTGGGGGGCCTGACGGTGTCTGGAGCAAGACAGCAGATGCCAGCCCCAGGGAAGCAGGAGGTCATGGCAGCTCTGTGCCCGGCCTCAGCAGAGACATCACCCTGTTCTCTGCTGTCGGGAAACCACTGCTGGGACTTGAGCTCTGCTTAAGGGTCATGACTCCCCCCAGGTGGGGGTCCCCAGGCCTCTGCGCTCCCGGGTGGGGGCCAGAGCGTGGGGCACCGAGCACAGAGGCGGTCTCTACCAGTTCCTCCTGACCTGCCCTCTACTTCCTTTAAGTACCGCATCCTCTCCAGGTTTTTTCTTTTCTCTCTCCTTTCATCCCCGGAAGGCTCTGTGGGCTTAGCTAACCCCCACCGCCAAGGGGACCAACCCTCGCCTGTTTCTTGGCCAGAGCCTGGGGCGGTCCTCGGCATGGGTCCTGCTTTACCCTGAAGACAAGACAGAGACTTCAGGGTTCCTGCTGATCCCCCCACCTTGGCCACCGCGTCCCCTTGTGTGCCGTTGGGGGGGCCCAGGGCCAGCCCGCGCAGCTCCCTTCGCCTGGGAAATCCTTGCTCAGCCTACAAGTCTCCTCTTCACGTCTTCCCCAGAGAGGCCGCTGACTCTGGGGAGGGTGGGGCCCATCATTTGTGTTCACTGCAGCCCCCCACCCTCCACTCCACCAATTCTAGTGAAGTAGCTGCGTAATTTCATCCCCGCCTGCTCCCCCTCTGGCAGAGAGGGAGTCTGTCTTGTTCGCCATGGTGCCTGGCAGAGTGCACTCGGTTACCATGTGTGGCCTGAATGAATGAATGAATGAATGCAGACATAAGCAAGCCCAAACTCTTCCTACCCCATGCCTCCCTTAGGTTATCCTAAAAGAGAAATGCCATTGTAGGGGGATTCTTCTGGCCTTTGGAGGTGGTGTGAGAGACCCAGGAGACAGGAAGGCTTTCCAACAATGGCATTTCCTGAGAAGGAAGGGCCGGCTGAAACACTGATTGTACAAAACGCTACCTGCAGAGGCTCCCACTGCTGGGATCTGGCCCCAGCCCTGGTGCTGGTGAGCCCCCGGGGGCAGCTGCCACCCAGAGGTGGGGGAGTCAGATCGACCTTCGGCAGCTGCTCCAGGAGGCGCCCCCTTGGTGAGTTAGCTTGTTTGGGGCTTTTAATGGTGGAGCATCCGCATATGAAGGATGATGCTGGCTGTCGGGTCCCACTGCCAGGGGACCTCACTCACGGTCGGGCGATGCTCCTGATGCACGCGTTCCCCGCAGTGAGCCGAATGGAAGGGGAACCAGGCAGCCCTGCTCTGTCCGCCTTGTCCCATGGCGTGTCACCCCTGACTTCACCCTGCAGCGCCAGGTCACCCACACCCCTCCCCGACACTTCTCTCCTTCTCACAGCACTTTTTATTATTACTCTAGGATGGGAGAAGGGGGTGGGCCAGGGATAGAAGGGGGACCCTGGGGCCGAGCCCCTAGAACTCGTGTCCACTAACCGGTTCTCCTTCTGTCCACAGGTGGGCCCCCATCTCGATACCTTCCCCACTGAGGCTGATCGCCAGAAAGCGTTCAAAGCCCACCGGGAAGAGCATGCAGTGCGCCAGGGGACCCTGCGGATGGGCAACTACAGCCACCCCTAAAGCCTCCTTGACCCGGTAGAAAATCCTCTAAAGGACTCACCTTCCCTACCCCAACTGACGTGAGACACTCTCCCATCCTTATGCGGGTTCTGCTTGGGCGAGAACCTCAGATTCAGGTCTTAGGTTAATGGTTTTTGGTAAGAGTTCCTCCCCCGTTGAGTTAGCCAACACTCATCTCCCTGACGACTCTCCTCTTCAGGACTCCCCTCCTTGGCCAGGCTGCCCACCCCCTTCTCAAGCCCTCACCTGATAAGATAAGCCCAAATCCTAAGGCATATTTTAGACTCCAGGCTACAGTTTGATTCCAAGGCTCTGCCCTCAAGTGCTAAGAACAACCTGGGCATTTCCTGCAGAAAGTGTGACAGTAACATCCTTTGAAAGTCCTCACTTTCTATTCCAGACATGAGTTTTAACTGCTCTTTCTGGGATGCCAGTGTCTCTCCAAGGCAGTACTATCTCTCTGGGACCCTTGACGGCAGGAAGAGCAGAGGCTCCTTGCTCAGGGCCGGCCCCCACCTCCTCAGTGCTGCGCCCAGATGGGCTTCTCCACCAGCACCGACCTCGGAAGGTCCCCCCTCCCCGCTCTGGAAAGAGAGAACCTGCTGGGAGAGTGGGCGGCTGAAGGTGCACAAGCTGTAGTAATTCACACCTCAGTCTTCCTGCAGGTCCTTGGGCTTCTCCCCACAAATTAGATACCGATCTATTTCCAATTAAAACTGCGATTTGTCATTCTCCTCTTGTGCCCTTTATTTGGAAACCAGTAAACCTATAACCAGTGGGAGAACCAACCTCACGCGCTTCAGGGTAGATGGCCTTCTCCAAAACACCTCAACTGCACCTGTATGAAGTCAGGCAACTTCTCGGGTTCTTGATTCCATTTCTAGTCTGAGGGTCCCAATTGTTGGGCTTCAACCCAGAGCCCTCCCCAGAACTCCAGGCTCATTTATCCAACTGCTCCCTGAATGTCTCCACTTAAGTGTCTGGTGTTCAAGTCAAACCAACACAGCCAGGACAGAACTCTGGATTTTTCCCACCAAACTGGCTTCTCTGTCCATTTTTCCCATCTCATACGTGAGACCACACAGATGCTGAAGACTTCGTGTCTTCAAAAACCTTCACAACTCTTCTTCCTTCGAGCTCACATCCAACCCATCAACAAACCTGTAACCTTCCTTACAAAACACTGATTCATCCCATCTCCCTGAGTCCCCATCACCCCTGGAGAATGGCAGCAGATTCCTTAACCATCTCCCTGCTGCACCCTCAAAATCCGTTCTCCACATGAGACAGGAGGGAAGGGGATGGGGCACAACCATTAAAAGAATGACACAGCAACTGAGGATAGGTTAATTGGTTAGAACCAACTTGGCCCAAGATGGTGGAAGACTCGGCTTCTGATAGAGCTTGACCCTCACCATGGGCTCACCGTAACACACTAGCTGCTGCATGGCTCACCCACAGGTGCCATGACAGCTCCCAGGCTGAGCATAGGCGGCCAAAAAGTAGGCGGGCTCAATTCCTGGAAACCCCCACCCCTTCCCCAAATAGTTGGAATAGTCCTCCCACTCGTTAGCCTAGGAAATTACCCAGCCTGTAAAAGCTAACAACCCCAAACGCTGGGGCCGCCTCTCTTGTCTTCTGAGATGGCCTGCACGCTGTCTACGGAGTGTGTATCTCCCTAAATAAATCTACTTTCACTTTATGACTCACTCTTGAATTCTTGCCTGTGTGAGACAAGAACCTATATTCTCCAGCTACCCACAGAGCAGCTTGTTAGCACTCCAGAAGCTTCCACTGCTCTTGGGATAAAATCCATGCTCCTCCCCGGGCCCACAGCCCCCCGGCTAAGGCAGCCAAGGGCCCTCCCTCTCCCTGCTCTGCGCCCTCCTTTCATTGCCCAGAGGCATCAGCCCCACCCTGCCTTAGGCTTTGGGCTTGCTTCTCCCTCTGCCTGGAACACCTGGGCCCCAGATTGTCACCTGCCCGCCCCTTCTTGTCATCCAGATCTTAGCTCAAAAGTCAAGCCCCCCACTCCAAAGGCCTTCCGTGAAGTAGCCACCAGTTAAATCCACATCAACCTGTTTTATTCTCTGCAAAGCACCGGGCCCTCACGGACTGCGTGTCTTCTCCTCTAGAAGGGGAGGGGCCCAGGATCAGGGGCCTAAGATCCCAGGGCCCAGATGTGAGGGGTTGCAGAATGGCCCACTGCGTGAACATCTGCTTGGCTCCTGCCCCTACAGGCTGAGGGCCTGGCAGGGATCAGCCGGCAGCCTGGGCAGGGAGACGCAGTCTGCTGATCGCAGGTCTGGGTGAGCATCCTGAGCTGCCTTCCCACCCCCACGGTGTGCACACGTTGCAGCTCACTGGAAGCTAATTCCGCCAAAATACCACACACACACACACACACACACACACACACTAACAACCTCCCGTACGGAACT